CTCTCTTTTTGTGTGTGTGTGTGTGTGTGTGTGTGTGTGTGTGTGTGTGTGTGTGTGTGTGTGTGTGTGTGTGTTAAGATGTATTATTTCGATCAGTAGTCTGTACTCGTGCTCACGTAAGCTATAAATGTATAAGCACACATATGTTTAACAAAATGCAGCGATAGTGTATCCGATTCTTACTAGAATCGATTATTTCGCTCGATATATCGGTCTACCGATAATCGGTGCGCTCCAATTAAGTTACTAGAGTCATAATTAATTATTTCTTATCGATGTCTCATCTCTAATTTCTACCAATGTGTCAGTCGTACGCGCGCCGAAACTCCACGATGTCGATTCACCCTTTGACGCGTTCTTCTATTGCGCCTGAATTCTCGATTTTCTTCGGTGCAACGTATGAATCCGCGAGTAGGTCAAGGCGAGAAAATACCGTGTTTGCATTTTGCACCGCCGCGCACTTTATATACCGTGAAAAAGTTCTTCGTCCGCTATGCATAACCACTTTTCTCCACGATTCTTTCGAGATTTTCACTCGCTCGCGTCGACGCGAGAATATCCGCGAATCGAACCGGATTTCAGTCTTTTACGGCGACGTTCTCACATTCGCGACCCGGGCGCTCGGCTCGATGAATATCCCGTGACAAATAAGACGAATATTCGCGTCCATGGGGAACGGTATCCGGCCGGGGCAAACGATATAAAACGCCATCGTCACGACTTCTCTCGAATTGCGCGCCGCACTCTGGAAATTCCACCCCGTGTTCGCGTATTCGCAGTGTCTTAACCGCGCTATCGGTTTATTATCTACTTTGCTCCGCGCCAGAGCCAGAGAGTTCGGCACGGTGCACGAACGAGAACTCCGCACGAACTCTCGTGTGGTCACGTTCTTGAGAAGTCGCGTCCGCGTTGTGACTTGTGTGGCGTATACGTGTTCGCAATTAGCCATTCTATCTTAAGCAAATCGGAGCGGCACGGACGACGGTTTCGTGTCGATAACTCATATCGAGCGATCGTTACGCGTATCACTACTTTCGTCGCCACAATGCCAAATTGTTATTCGAACAAGCCACGTGAAACGAGGCTACGATCTCTGATTTATATCCCACCTTTTTTTGTCGACGACAAGCAGTCGTCAGGTCGGACGCAGGAGTTCGTTGCGTTATATATTTAAGCTTATACGTAACAATTAGCGGAAGCTCCACGTGAAATCCGCCACAGAGCTCTGCGCGGGAAAATCCATGTTTGAAGGCAGCGTACACACTAGAGCCTCGTGTGTATGTGTGTGTGTGTGTTAACCGAGATTCGCCAATATCAAAATAGTTAGCACTGGCGCTCGGTTAATTTTGCACAGAAGCCGTCTAACTGACACCACTCACAATGTTGATCTCATAGTCACGTATATTACGTGCGGCGTCGGATATATTCGCGTCGGCGAAGGCAACCAATTTCCCTTCGCTAATTTTCGACGGTGCTTGGCGAAGAACACGCGAGGCTTGACGATTATTTCATGACGTCGTCACGTAGTCGGAGATGGAACGGCTGGCTGGCCGGTCCACGTTTACGCTCTCGCACATACGCGAAGATATACGAGCGCAAGAAATACGCCCGCGCTGCTATACGAGTACCCTGCTAATACGGCATAATACTCGGATATCCGGCGTCCGATATGAAATTATTCAAGAAGCCAAGCGTGTGCGCGCGCCGCACGGCGAAGATCGTTCTGGAAGCAATTGCTGGGACATCCGCCCGTCCGACCGAATTTACGCACTGCCCTGTCTGCTTACCGATTAAAGGACGAGAGGCAAGCAGGCAGGCAGGCAGCCAGACGGGCCGGCTTCGAACCCGTACAAAGCCATTTGCCGGGCGAACCAGTTCCTGGACGCCCTTCGGTCCACGAGCGTCGTCTAATCCGAGCGCAACAATGGGGGCTGCATTATTGCGTCGATGTTCGGCTCGCTGGCGAAGATATATATATATATATATCTCTCTCTCACGCGCGCGCACGCGCTTGATCGAAGCCCTCGTTAAAGATTGACGGCGGCTTTCGTTATTCACAAGCGCGATGGTGTTTGTCCTCGCGCGACGATATTCCTAGTGACCCGAGGCGCGACCCACGAGGTCGCGGGGGTAATCCCGACGGTGGTAACGCCGACGCGTGATATCTTCTCGGTTCGCGCGAAGGGATGTGGTATATATATAGCTGTGTGACGGATAGGAGAGAAGGAAGAAACGGCGCGCGATATGGTGACGGCCGTGGAAAGCGATAACTGGGCGGATTTCGATATCGCTCGGATAGCGTTGTTTACTGCGACGCGCGCCAAAGTTTTTCCGATTTTTCTCCGCCCGGTATTTCTCCCCGACGCGCCACAGCTCCTTTCTTTTTTTCTCTCTCTCTCTTGCCACCACTCCAGCGTCTCGACGTTCTATCGCGGGCGTCGCGGTATATAATATTTCCCGCAAGAACGCTCCGGGATCAACCCGCTTGACACTTGGCTTCCCAAAGTGCTTTCGCTATTGCCACCGCGGCTGTCTTCCCGTCACGATATTGTCGCCGATCCGATTATTACGAAGAACGAAGTCGCCGAATCGGAATGGATATATCCTGGCGTTCTCTTCTTATCCACTGGGAGGTCGGGGGTCGAGGGAATTGACTTTAACGATAGCGATCGCGCGTCACGTCGAAATATCCTCGATTTTCCACCAAACGTCTTGCGATAATTAATCTGCGGTTGCTTTTTACGATGGATAAATAATAATAGATAATAATATCAGTCCCACTGATCAAACTAAAAAAGATTAGCGCAATACAAGGAAAACACTAAAAGATATAGAGTAATGAAAACGATTATGGAACTACTTTTACTCAAATAAATATTGTTACAATGTAAATTGCGTACTTCAAGTTTCTAATAGTGTAGAGACATCGAGAAATATGTTACTTCTATGAAGCCCAATAAAAGAATGTATAAAATTTCATTGTACCTTAAATTCTAACAAAAAAGTAGAAAATGAGAAAGTTGTAAGGTTAGAAAGATAGGAAATATTATAATAAAGAAAATTCTTTAGGTTATTAGTTTGCAATGATATACTAATTTATTTCCCGAAAAATTTATGTGATATTACACTTAGAAAAAAAATTTTACTAATTTAACATATCCAAACGGTTTGTTAATATGAAACAATAAATTACTCCGTTCTGGGGAATAAAGAATTTGTACTTTCAATTTGCTGCTCTAAGCAACACTGCTATAATGAAGATAGATGCTACTGCTCAGTTAATCCAACAAATCATACATTTGATTTGTTAACAATACACACTGTTAGCAAAAGTTGGAAATGACGCTACCTTTGTAATAGTTCACTATTAGTCTGTTATTTATAGCTGCATTGCTGAATTGATGGAATGAGTAAGAAAGGTATATTTGTCTCATTCTAACTTATTGCACCAATTTAGCAGTGCAGCGAAGAAGAACGGACCTATTATCAACACGTCTTGCATGATAAATAAAAGTATTCCACATTATTAAAAAAATTATGAAAATAACAATCGAACGTTCCTAAACATTACTATCTATTATTAAACAATTGAACGCTAAAACATTATTAATCCTAATCTGACACATAAGCATCATTTTCGACTTCACCTGATTTTTAGTTTTAAATTATCAGCAAGTTATAGTGGAACGTTTCGCTTCACTTTTTATCATATATTCCCTCCAGTTCATTACATTAAATATAATATGCAAGGTAGCCCATATAACTCTTTACAGATCGTTATCTCGGAAACTATTTCATTGATTTTAAAGATTCACGTTTCAAATTATATGAAGTGCTTTTAAAATGAAGTAAAGATTATACTATCTAAACCTCGTTTGCGTCAATGGATTAACTTTAAGATTTTGAGTAGGAACTGCTATACAAAATTATATTTTTTGAAAGAAATTGTTTTCTATGAAAGAAAACAACTTAGTTTTATTCGAGATATTTTTTCACATGTTTATATGAAAAAATATGACGGTGTGAAGCATAAATGATCACACAAAATCAAAATCTCCTAATCTGACTTATTCAATTTATTAAATGTTATAGCAAAATAACAAAATTTTATTAGCATTTACGATTTTTATTAGCACTTTTACAGATTTTAAATAAGCGAAAACGATAACTATTCTAATGTTCAAACTCCAGCTTTATCAAAATATGCAAAAAATGTGCTTTATTTTTCAGAGTTAATGCAATTGTATTAAGAGCATAAACATTTATAGTTAATGCATAAACATTTATAGTTAACTTATCTTAAAACTATATTGGAGTACAATTCTTTACCGATAGAATACTGACTTTTTTCTATAAAATATACGTTGTATTGGCTACACAGAATTACAAATGTTCTTACACAATAACAATACTGTGGTATCTTAAAATTTAGGAATTTAACGTTTGTAATGTAACGACATTTATATCTTTGTTTATATTATTTTATTTCTTATATTAATCTCCCATATTTATCGATGTAATCATGTTGATATCGTACTGATATCACATGATTCGAGATAAAACGGTGGCGGCGATATAAAGCGTGGAAAAAGAGAGTAGAGCAGTAGAGTGTTGAGTTCGGAGACGCGAGATCGCAGAGTTATGGAGACACAAGGTCGTAGAGGCAGATCGAGTCGCGGAGCGAACAAGAAGCGAAGATTGTTGTTGCATCGTCACGTGCAGAAAAAGTAAGCGAGCAGAAAAAGTAGCGAAAGCGCCGAGAGGTCTCGAATCCGAACAAGTCAAATCCTAAACACCACTCATACCTAATCAATTTATGTGGGAACAACGACTTCTTAATTGAACATCACTTATTATCATCCCAAAAAGGAAAAGAGAATTCTCACAATACGTGCCAGAATGAATTAAAATATTGCTTAATATATGACAATAAACGATAAAAAATATCGAAGTTGAAATTCCGATTGTAAATCAGTCTGTCTGACGCTATCACTTAAAAGAAATATTCATCTAATAGAAAAAATTTGCAGATTATATATACTAAATGCGCAAGTTTGTTCCACTGAAAATTTTCAAAAAACATTACTATACTTTTATATCAAAATTTAGAAGTTTTAAAATATCGGAGAAGTTTACAAGAAAATTTCTATATACTCGCGGTTAAGTTTTCCGCTAAATATATGCTAAAGCAGCATACATTTACATAAAATCCATATGTACAAGAAATATGAAAGATATCATCATTATGCTAGTGACGACCATCTCTACGTTTTCGACATTTTTGGAGTTCGTCGTCTACTTCAGCATCTTCTAAAGTAAGATCACAATTTCATTACCACAATGTTTAATTTTAAGCGAAATGAAAATCTTTTAGATTTCCATGTTTCTTTCACATACACATATACACACACCTGACGTTCAGCGTTACACATGGCGAATTTTATAACAACTGTATCAATTTTCAGCAATTACCGTCAGGATGCAGCGTTTTATAGAAGAAATAAGCTTTTATTCCATATCATCTGTATCTATTTCATAATTGATTCCTTTAACTCTTTAAGTTACAAATTTTTCTACATAACCTTTTTCTTTTTCCTTAATGTGTGCTGCTTCTCCTTCGTTCAATCGATATCTGGCGATTTTTGGGGTCGCTAATTACAAATTTGAAATCAGTTTTTGAAAATTCAAGATGATGAATCCAATACGGTGGACGACAATTTTAAAACTTCCTGGATTTCCATGAAAATTGGTATCCGAAGGTTTTTGGCGTCGCTGATCACGAATTCGAAATCACTTTTTTGAAATTCAAGCTATTCATAGACTCAACTTCATTAATTTACGAAAAGAAATATAACTTACCCCGATTGTTGATATTTTAGCTCGCTATATTGAGATTGCTATCTTGAATTTTAAAATTTTTGAAGTTGCGTCGTTATCTACAGCGCGCTCAAAAAGCATCAACCAAGCCATTCTTTTTCCATAGATTTACTTTGCAATATTTTTGGCAAATGCATTTAAAAAAAAATTATCATTTTTTACATTAATTTGTTTATGAATAATTAAATTTGCAGAATTTAATGTTCTATGCAGATGATTCTGTTAGAGGAACATCTAAGCTTCAGAATGAATCCATATTTACCGTCTCGAAGTCTCCACAAATTAGTTTAAATTTGTAAAATCTGCTCTAAGAAAAGTGTATCATATAGGATAAACTCGGATAAAATAGTCATACTTTTTCAAAATGCAAAACAAATACATTTCTTATTGTTATTTCTTAATAGCATTTGGCATATTACTTCACTGAAGCCTATAGTACATAATATCATCAGAGTTAAAAGAAAAATACTTCAGTGAAATTATTTATTACAAATATATAAAAACATGAGCAGTGATCATCTTACCTAAATTTTTAAGACACGATGACCATAAGAAATAGATGACCCATACATATTTTATGTTCAAGATTCTGTACCTATTATTTTATAAAATAATGAAAAAAAACATAATTTGACATACTCATTTTAGTATAGGATATTTAATACATATTATTTGTGAAAAATATAATACACATTTAAAATAGAAATCTCTATGTCAAAACTTAAATTCTAAATCTAATTTTTGATAAAAACATATTACACATAAGATTTAATTACTGTAATATTGAAAGTAATTTTTAAAATATAACGACTTTCGTTTTATAAATGTTAGAATGATAGGGGACCATTTCACCCAAAATATGAGTGAAAGACGGTTATAATAGTACTTACAAATAAATAGTGAAAACGAAAATAAAAATGCATGTTATATTACAATTTACATACCTACTTTATGTATCTAACATTGATTGTGATAATTTAACTGTAATTTATTCGACGTTGCAGCAAGTTTTAGTGGACATATGAGAAATTTTATAGATAGTCGAAAATAAAAATACAGTATAATATTAAATCGAAATAATAGAAAGCTCCTCGAATAGATTAACTAACAGTGAGATTTGAAACGGCACATAAGGAGCAAGCACGGATGTCTTAGTGCTATTAAATACTAATATTACTTTTTAATATTAATATGATTGTGGGAGGATAAAATTGTCCAGTATGTTAAACGCACGTATTGAAATTTTTTCTTCGATTATCGTCCTGGCGGAGGCAGTTTTTTCGCAACATATATAATGAATCTATTTGAGTCATCGGTTTAATGGGGTTTGGGATTTTAATAAAAAAATATATGTATATAAAAATTGGGACTCAAGGATCGGTCTAAGTATGGAAGGTTGATTCTCCGCGTACGATAATCGAAGAAAAAATTTCGATACGTGTGTTTAACATACTGGACAATTTTATCCCCCCACAATCATATTAACCCTTTCACTGCCGAGAACAAAGATCTTTGTTTTTTTGGACTTGGCCCAAACTGCCGGAAAATCACAAATCTTTGTCCTATAAATAAATGCTCTACTGACGCCTGATAATGCATTAAACGTGAACAGAATGTGTTTTCCTATGTTTTCGAGGTCGCTGAATATGATTCCGAGGTCCATTTTATACTATCTCGCACCCATGACCGACTAGAGCTATAAGAAAATGACTATTTTTTTCATTTTTTGGAAAATCTTTGTCCTCGCACACTCAAGTTTTATGCCACATTTAAACAGTGTTATTCTGATAAGCTATATCATTTATGGGTAAAAGTAACTCAATTCATGACTTTTTGCTACTTTTACCAGATATATCATTTTCATCGTAGTTTGACCCGCTGATTTATCTTTTGTGTGAATTACCCTTGACATCTGCCGAACCCAGGATGCACCGTCGAGGAGGTTGTCAAAAGGATTTAGCATTCCACTTTTTTTTTGCTTTTTTTATCCTTTTTTTGTTTTTTGTTTTTTTGTTCTTTTTTTGTTTTTTTTTTTGTTTTTTTTTTTCGTTTTATCGTATAAGCGGTACAAATGAACTCAATTTATTATGTAGTATAAAAAATGGTCAGTAAAAAAACTTTCAAACAAAATAGGTAACATGTCGATGAAAATACCCCAAAAATGGTATGTTCAGTTAAAATTGTCAAAGTTTCTAAGTTCGGCAGTCTGAACACATTTCATCTAAATACTCTGGCAGTGAAGGGGTTAATATTAAAAAGTAATATTAGTATTTAATAGCGCTAAGACATCCGTGCTTGCTCCTTATGTGCCGTTTCAAATCTCACTGACAGTATAATATTCATAATCTTGCTATTTCGAAAAATATACGCACACACTACGATACATATCGATTATCTTTGTGATTACACAAACGCAATGTTTTGCAATTATTAGAGAAATTACAGCCTATGGCCATCTTTCCTGTATAGCCATAATACTCGAGTTTATCCTATATGATATACTATAACTTAAAGGGTTAATCCATAGCTCGTCAAGCACTTTTCGACCGATTTTCAAAAGGTTCCGTCTCGTATTGTCCCCCTTATGTTGTCCTGCGCGCAACCTACGAGTCGCTCGACGCTCAAGCAAGTCGTAAACTGTTCGCGGGGCAACAAAGCAAGGAGAACAAAGCGAAACATCGCTTGCCGAGCTCTGTTTTAACCTACTCGATGTTTTGGGAAACGCTAATTGTATTTAGGCGACCCTCTTCATTCGTTAACGCGCAAATAGATCTGAGACTCAACTGGAAGCTAACTGCTAGCGTTTTGCTCTCGCCTGATACACATGAAAGAGTAATATCTCTATTAGCCGAATTTCTCACACGTTGTGAAAGCGATTAATTACCGTGTGTTTTCTTATCTCTTATTATCTGCATCTGTTTTTTAGAAATCTGACGTCTACGCTCGAGCGCTACCGTTTCTCGAAAATGATCGCGTTCAACGTTAGACGTATTCTCACGACACTTTCAAATTATAGTTCTTATATTAAATGTTCGTTCTTTTGTGTGCAAAAATATGGATCAACGCACCTATTGAAATCACCCGTTTAAACGTGCGTTTAACGCGATCTCGTGTTTCGAAATGGGAGAACAATGTACCATCCGCATCTCTCTAGTGCTAAAGTATGACTCCCCGAAGCCCTGCCGTTTGATATTACTGGGATTAAGTAAGCTCCACAGTTCGGCTTTGCGGATTTGCTCACTAATGAGGTGCATGCTTGGTATTCCCTATAATTGCATACTGCCGTTTATAGTTCTCACGATGATCCTTCATAGTTGACTGTCTTTGGGAAATTCGTACGAAGACGCGGTAATTTCTACATTAAATCCGTCGATTACAATGTGTGCATGTGAGTAAAATGCAATGAGGATTTATTAATTTATACATTATAGATTTATTTATTACGTCGGGAAATATCTAAAGAAATTGCTGCATGAGTGAAAATATAATTCGATTTCAAACGGTGGAAATATCAGGAAACGATATATTATCTATCATGAACAGAAGATGGAGCTGCGATTAAATATTTACAAATCAAGAATATAACTTGGTGTGAAGATAAAAAATATGAAATTGTAGGAAACAGTTATCAATAGTATATTATGATCTAACAAGAAAACCCATACAAGTATCCGTCTCCGATGTTCATGAACTTGTAATATGTTGTACTTTAAATTAAAATAACAGATACATTTTTATTTTCTGTGCCTTTTCGCAAGTTTAGGGAGTGAAATACCCCTTTGAAGAAAATCTGTTTTTTTCTATTCGAAGGGAATGTAATGAAAACTATAAGAGAAAAAAATATTTTAAATAAAAGTTGAATAGTTTGAAGAGTACTTTACAGAAATTATTTTAATAATTATAATAAGAAGAAATAATAGGGAAAAAATTTAAAAAAATTTTGTTTTCAAATAATTTCTGTAAAGTACTCTTTAAACCATTCAACTTTTATTCAGAATATTGTTTTCTATCTTTTATAGTTTTCATTATATTCTCTTCAAATGAAAAAAAAAACGATTTTTTTCAAAGGAGTATTTCTCTCTCTAAACTTGCGAAAAAGTCCATATAATAAAAAACGTATCTAAATTAAACGTTATTTTGATCTAAAATACATATTACAAGTTCATGAAAATCGGAGGCGGAAACTTGTGTGGGTTTCCTTGTAAGTAAGAAGTAATATCTATCTTGGATGTGTCAGGCAAAACTATATTTCGGGAGACATAATCGATCTGTAAAAATCAAGTGAATTATACAATGTAAAGTAATCCCAATGTAAATGCGGTAAAGTTATTTAATCATGTTCTTGGAGATCGCATTTGACACGATTAGTCATTCAAATCAATATCGTATGATTAAGTTATATCTTGAAGAATGTTGGGCGATGCAGTAAACGTATCCG